CCAATCGATACTAGTCAGATTATTTCGGAGGCGGGTTGCCTCGACCCTGACTGTGGGATCCTCCATCTCGGATGTACATTGTAAAACTATGTAACCACAACTTCCCAGCAAAAAGACTCTTGATAAATCTAAAAATCTTTCTCCGTTGGGAATCAAACTCACATAACTTTCTGCATACAACACTCAGCAGATCCCCCCCCCCCCCCCCATTTGCAGTGCTACTGACTGAAGTATCTTTAAGCCATTTTCAAAGGAGGGGGGGGGGATATTACCATGTTCTTATGCACAGTAGAATTGTAAATGGGCTGATTTATCAATGTCATGCTCATACTGTGCTGGAACAACATAGGAGAAATGCTACTTTTTCTTTCCTCATTCTTACTATCGTCATTTTTTCCTCTACTTCTTTTGTATGTTTGTCACTCTCTTGTGACCCGCTATTTCCCGGGATGCCTTGATAGTCGAAACAGACTCTTGTGCTGTTGAGGCTAGAGAGGTGAACAGAGTAAGCCTGATTCCCTGTTTGGACTTCACTGTTGACATCCACCCCTTAGTCCTCATATTATGACCTTATGCAATTGAGAGCGACGTAAAATCTTACTAAAACTAAACACCCGTTCTTTCTATCCGACTGTACTTCCAGTTGTACCATCCTTGCCCGAACCACTCCCCAGTATATTATTTAATACGTATACTTCAATAAAAAAAAAAGAAAACTACTATAGGCATCCACTGAAAAACCGCTATATAATTATACCGAAACAACTGGAGAAAGAAAAGAGCAGATGAAGCCTCAACAGCACAAAGTCTGCTTCGACTATCAAGGCACTCCGGAAACAACACTTCACAAGAGAGTGACAAACATACAAAAGAGGTATAGGGAAAACGACGATAGTAAAGATGAGGAAAGAAAAAAGCAGGCATCCGAGACACCGTTTTTCCGCAAACGCGCATGCTGCCCGTCGGAATGGCAAAGTGTTGCAGGAAGTTAACTCAACGATTTCGTACCTGTAACTTCTCAAAAGCACAGAGCTATCAAGGCCAGTGTATTCCAATTGCTCGCATTTGGAAGCACTTCCAGACAAGCTTCAGACAGTCGGGGCATAACGAGAATTAACGAGGGGAAGGGAGAGAGAGAGAGAGAGAGAGA